ACATGCCATATTAAATTGCAATGTGAAGAAAGACAGTTGAAAAGAAAATTCCAAAAGAATGAAAAGTATGTTTATAATGTGTCTAAGTTGAGCACAGAACCTACTCTGATACAAAATGGTGATCAGAACAAACAGATTGACATGGAAACTAATTTTTGGAAGACAGGTCAGAGAGGCTGGACCCTGTAGAGATTCTCTGTTTGGTGAGATACTGGCAGAGAATTAGCTGGCTGAGCCCAATGTTCTTTAATTAAGTCCATAAGGGCAGGTATGTAAGTTTAAACTTAGGGGAGGAGATCTTTCTTGATTGATGTCCCCCAAAATTAAGTCTTCCGTGGGAGCAGGTGGCTGTTCCATATCCATTTTTAAGGTTTTCGCCATGCGAGACTGTAGCGTTCAGCCCTGCCCTCACCTGTCCATCACAGCTGAGCAGTGGAACAGCAGCCAATGAGGGGACGGAAGTTGGTGCAAAAGGGGGAGGAGCTGGGATATAAATAAGGGTGTATGAGGTATGTGAGATTAGTGTGGAGACTTAATGAGTCTGTGGGCCTGTGAGCCAAAAAGTCAGTGAGAGAAGAGTCTGTGTGTGTCAGTGAGTGAGAGACCTTGATTAACAACTTGTGATTTACCCATTTTATTTTGTTATTCAAATAAACACGTTTTGATTTTAAAACAACACTTTTCTTCTTAAATATTTGATACTATTGGTGGCAGCAACTGAGTAGGAACAGTGAGCACTCCTGGAGGCCTGCGACAATAGAGGCTCCAGCGTGCCCGCTACAGAGACACCATCTGAACATATGAGGAAAAATCCTCAGAAGGGGAGGAAGGATGGTTATCAGCTGCATCTGATTCTAGTGGGTCACCTCCTCCTGGAGTTTCTCCCAAAGCCTGAGATAGGGCATCCTCCTCTTGTTCAGAGATGTCTGAAAAAGGTGGCTGGTCTTGTTCAGAACTTGCAGGGCAAGATGACTTTTTTGTACTGTGCTTAGCTAAGTCAGTATGATGAGGCTGTTGACAAGTGAGTAATAAGCCTTTTGATGTCGACTGTTCTTTCTCTTTTTGACCAGGAACAGCAGCTGCTTTATGAGAATGCTTAGCTATTTTACAAGCTTCAACGTCGAGGTGTTTACAACGTCAATGTTTAGTATGAGGAGAGCATGAAGGAGAAGATGAGGAAGAGTATGTGTAGACTTCTCTTTTTCCTTCTCTGGTTACTCGACGTCAAGGAGGAGGAAGATTAAGATCTGTCCCATCAACGTTGACGGCTAGACTTCTTGCAGGCGGCCTCGTACTCTGAATCAGAGTCGGAGTAATCTCGACAATGACGACACTGCTTCCTCCTCTCGACCTCGGAATCAGAGTCAGCCTCCGAATGCCTATGTTGGCATCAAGAGTCCTTCAGTAGGACAACCAACTTCTGTCAAGAGTCTCAGTGCTGATCTGGTTAGATGTTTTTTCTTGGCTGACCTCTTTCTAGGTGGATAGTCAGAGTGTAAGAAAATCAACTCCAACAAAGGGGTCAATGACGCCCGCCCGGTGGATACAGGGCTAAGAGGGGCAACAGCCGAGCTAGCAAGTGAATGGGCTAGCTGGCTTGCAGTTGGTGACTGCACAGTGTCATCCTGTTGACGAGGAGGTAATGATGCTACCACTTCAGAAAGGGATTCACGGTCCTGGGAAGAGTCTTCTAAAATAGGTGAAGGAACCGATGCCAAAACCGGGGATATATTTAGAGACTGTTCCTTGGGTCTCTCTTTAGCCTTAGTAGATGTTTTCTTCTGTTTTAGGTCACCGGTAGAACTGGATGAAGTGGCGGTACGTTTTTTTTTGGTCCAGGTTTTTTCCTAGGCTGTTCAGTAGCTTTAGCAGTAGATTTTGAAGTATAAGGAGCTGGTGGAGAAGCAACCCTCACCTCTGATCTGACTGAGGGAGTTGGAGTAGACTCCATTTCTGAGGGCTGGGAAGCAGAAAGGGTCTTGTCCCAAAGGAAAAATTTAAGTCTTTGTTGGCGAGCCCTTAGAGCAGCTTTTCTAAAACTTGTACAGTACTTACAAAGGTGAGGCTGATGACTTTCCCCCAGGCAGAAAACATATAAATCGTGCCCATCTTGAAAGGGCAATTTGCGGGAACAGGAGGAACATCGCCTGAATGGCCCCGAGTGTGACATATAGTGGTAATAAGAATAGAAAGTCTGTAATTGAGTAATTAGGGGAGTGAGGCTGGCACATGCTGCGGCAGCCAATCAAAGCGTGGGAAATCAACAATACTTGCAGGTCAATCCAGTAGCGTAGTCAAACAGTCCGATATCAGGGGCACCAGATAAGACGAAAATCTCAGGAAAAACTGTGGCAAGACCATAAAATCGTAAAAGAAGATCGTAGCCCTAACGAGAGGTCCCAACTCAAAGGGGGAAAAATTGGAACTAAGGTCTGAGGCGGGCAGAGCATGCGCCTTAGGGGCAACCTAAACCTGTTACTTTTCTCCTAAAGCTCTCGAAGATTCCGAGAGGACCAGCCCAGACACGGTTTTAACCCACTTGTGTGCATTCACAGAGGCCACAATGAAGAATTACAATTTGGTTCATTTGAAAACTCAATTCAATTTTCATTATATTAGGCTGTAGGCAAGCCTAGTGAAAGGAAATGGCAGGTTAAAGCTGATTAGCCAGGTTGGGATGGTCACAAAAGCCTCTTCCAGTTAGGGTGAAAATGTGGAGTTGTTGGGCGATATGCATTTCTGCCCTTTTTTTGCAGCACTTCTCTTTTTTGGAGATCATGCATAAAATCATCAATTCTGTCACTGAAGAGGCTCTCCCCATCAAAGGAGAGGTCTTCTATATGGGACTTGGAGTCATTTGGAAGACCCACCAAGCACACCCAAGCATGCCTCTGCAAAGTGATGCTCACCACCATACTCTTAGCTGCACAATCAGTCATGTGGCAGGTGAAACGGATGTCTTATCCAGCCAAAGAGGATGCCTCCTGTTGAAAAGAAGTAGCTAGGGGCTTCTTGACTGGTGGTAAGGCAGCAATCCAGATCTCCTATTCTCCCTGCCATGATGCCTTGGATACAGAGACCGTTGGATAAAGGAGAGGGGTCTTGACTTTGACCATCGCCCATCCTCAGACTGTGGGGGCAAGGATTGCTCCTACAGCGAGATCCGAGAAGACGGTGCTCTCAGTGAGACAGTGACACTCTGCACAGAGGGGCTTAAGCACTCACCCTCTGAGATCGAGATCATATATTAGGTTTTTGATAACAGAAGCAGTGGTAGGCTTTCAGATCAGTATCTGAGGATCCAAGGTGGCCATAATGGCAGTGGCACTGAAAGATTGCCATTTCTTCTTTGTTGGCTCAATACCAGAGGCTTGTGAGTGCTTAGATCAATCACAGTAACAGATTCGTGAAGTTGGAACGAGCCTATAAGGCCACTGCACCCAGCACCCTGCTCAGTGCAGGAATATAAATCAAAGTATATCTGCCAGGTGGCTGTCTATATTTGTCTTGAATGCTGGAGTGTTGGAGCACTCACCACCTCTCAAGATAATTGATTCCATTGTCATACTGCTCCAACAATCTGGAATGTTTTCCTGATATTGAACCAAAATCTGGCTTCCTGTAACTTGAGCCCATTGTTACATGTCCTGCACTCTGAGATTATTGAGAACAGATCCTGCCCCTACTCTTTACCTCTCAAGTATTTGAAAAGTGCTATCATATCTTATGAGTTACATGCTAAAACTTCTTCGTTGACTTCGACAGTACAGTAGTTTCAAGGAGGATGAAGAAATGACTTCTGAGTCCGGAGCTTTCCCAGGCAAGTCTGGTTGATCCATTCAAGGACTCAAAATCACTCTGGAGGAGGGAATCTCAGAGGGTTTCTTCCCAAGCAAAGGATTTTTCTTTGGCAATTTTTAATTGTAAGAGTAGTAAAACTCTTGCAAATCTTACAGAATTTGACTACATGAGCTTTTCCTAGGTAAAATAAGCAAATATCATGCCCGTTGGACTGAGGAATCTTTTTGCCACAAGTGCACACTTTTTCATTAAAGTAGGGGTCATAAGCTGTAGGGAGAGGCAGGATGGAACCAAAAACTGAAAACCCCCTCTCTCTACTATAAAACATTTTTAGAAGAAATAGAAGACGGAATGAAAAGAGGAAAAGGGAATGAAAAAAAAAAGATTACAAGACTTACTGCAAAAACTGTGGTAAGTGAGCAGAGGCTCCAGAACAGTCCTTTACGTGTTGCCATGACAGTGGACAAAAAAGGGCTGAGGAGAGTGGGGCCATGCTGGCAGTTTTGTTTTTGGCGCTCTGGAACGTTCCAAAGTAGTGTTTGCGTAGGCGCAAATCCCTTTTGTGTGCATACATGAACACCACAAAAAAAGAACTTGAAAGTTATTTTTCTTCTTTGAGGGATAAAGTGTTTATAATTGCAGTGCTTATTTGTCAGTCTGAACCTAGCCATTTTTAAGTTTAACACTGAGGGAAGCATATTCCTATGTTTAACTCTTTAAACATAAACATGTAATTGTAAAATCACTGGACAGTTATAGGAAGCCAAACCATATAACTCACAAAATGCTTTTCAAAATAAAATTATATATAAATGTGTATTATCACTTAGGCAAGAATATATCAAGAAAGTGTAGCTGACTTCTCAGGGATAAATCAACTGCTAGCAATGTGCATACAAAACAGCAATTAATGCCAGCCACCACCAACGTATTGATTTAAAACAGGCTGAAGGTTATCTAAGTCTAAAACAATTCTAAGAAAGGGTTGTGTGAATCTCAACTCAGGTAATGGAAGGTAGGACTCACCATACAGACTCTGAATTCTATATAAACAATGTTTCTGTTTTCTTCTTAAAACAGAAATATTTTTAACAAAATATTCAATTTTGAAGAATGTTTTATGCAGAATATTTCTCTTGTTCACAGGTACTGTGCAACTCTTAATATTTTTATAACAAACTAAAATTGGGATATCTTACCTAAATAAGGAATACAGGGAGTCATCTTCAAGCTGCTAATGTAGTCTCTAAGTCTTTTATAATTATCTTCTTTACTCATTACATATTCCAGTTTGTCAAAAGTAGCTTTGTCTTTTCGGCTCAGTAACTTGAGGGAGCAAGAATCAAAAGACTGTTAATATGAATGTTAATTTAAAAATTATTTTGTAAGCAGAATTCTAAAAAATTACAACTTGGACGTTTAGCTCATAACTAAAATCCTGTTGTGTACCTTTGTGGCATGCAACAATGTCATTAGCCAATTTAATTTAATTTGAACTTCCTATTCCCCCCTTTCAAGTCTGGGACTCTCTAGGAAATCATTTTGACTCAAGATGGGAGTGGGTGGGTGGAACATTTCTTATCGGAAGAATTGCTATTGGCGATCCTGCTGCCAGATGGGACTACCAGCAGTGGTCTGGCAGCAGTTTTCTAGTATGAAAGGCTCGTTCTCCATCCCAAGACTCCCAAAGGCTTCCGGGGAGCAAAGAGGAACCCTAGGGAACCCTGGAGCCTGAAGGCACTACAGAACAGGGGTGGTTAGTTCTTTGAGAGAGGCCCTAAGACTACCTCCCCCATGAAGCCCTATGAGTCTCATGGATCCTTCATCTGTAATTTATAATTGACTGCAATATTCACTTAATTCAGCACCAGACTTTTTGTTCCACTCTTTCTTCCTGATATTGTCCTTTCACCCATGTAATCTCAGAGTTGATTTTGTGTCCACAGATAGCACCACAGATAAACCTGGTGATAGATACAAGCAGTGCCTGAGGTCCTGTTGCTTAGTGTAATTAATTGCAACTAGAATAGTTGAATCAGTGGGGATTTGTTCACTCATCTCCTTTCTGTTGATTCAGTGGACCAAATCCAGTTGCAATTTACAATGCTAAGTAATAGTATTTCAGTCAGTGAACCTAAAACCTTTACTGTAATATTCAAGATTAATTTGTAGTTAAGTGAAAGAAGTAATAACTCATTGGTCTAAGTAGTTCATACTCACCGCCCATGTTTTAGTCAACCTGAAGATGGGAGCACTTTGCAATCCAGATAGTACAGCCATAAGAGCATGCAGATTATTTAACTCATACAGTTTCTGAGGACAAGAATAAAACAACTGATTTCAGTTTCTAACAAGTTATGTATGATGGTTTAAACTTATTAATCTATTTATGATGGACAAGAAATACTATGAACACTACCAAGTGGCAACTATTAAGAAAAATTGAAACTCCTGAAATAATTAACAAATTTACATGAAGAACAATGGCCAGTATTCTATTGGAGATTGCTTAGCATAATGCACTGCCAACATAACACTCACAGAGTATCTGGGTTCCTGGTGTGCATGGATTGTCATGTTCATATGAATGGAAATTTATGTTTGTGGAACAAGGTAGTGAATAGCTCTTTGTGCAGGCTCCAAAAACATCCACTCAACACTGAAACTGAGTACTGTATGAATGTAAGGGAATGAACAGAATACTGGCCAAAGCTTGTGTCTATGTTATTCTATACAACTATTTTAGGTATGGACCTAGATACTCTCCCACACAAGCCAATGTAATCATTTTGTCCTCTCCCCATCTTTTTTTTTTTTTTTTTTTAGGGCTGTGTATCTTATTTTATAGTGTGGGCCGTGGCATGAGAGACTGAAGAAAATAGATCATGGAATAAAGGGCATTTACTTATTTCATGAAGCAGAAGATACTTCTACCTAATTCCATACCACAGCCTATTCTATTCAGCAGGATTCTTGTCCTCTGAAGAATCATTATTCTTGAAACTGGTGAAAAGAGGCAACTGGGACGCCTGTTTTCTTTTCCCCCTTTTGCTCATACAAATCCAGATCCCATGCTTTGTATCCCAACCAATGAACAAGAAAATCTAAAGAGGAAACATTGACTGAAGAAAGTACTATAGATGCTTCTAGTATTTGAAGATTTCTGTGCACTCTAAAAAAATCACAAATTCTAGCAAAAGCTGTGTACAATCAGCACAAAATGACACTGCGAGGCATGGCTTTCATGACAGCACAAAGGATTATGCGGATATGAGTAGGAAGCTGAAGGACCTGGTTGCGCAGGTTGTAATCATCTCTCCTCCCTGTTGAAAGACATGGCCCATGAAGGGAGAGAAAAATAATGGAGGTGAACAACTGGCTCCACAAATGGTGCCGGCAAGGAATGATTTGGCTTCTTGGACCACGGTCAACTATTTCACAAATATCGACTTTTGGCAGGGGATGGGGTACACCTCACAGCTGTTGACAGTAATGTTTTTGCTAAGAGGCTCACAAATCAGATCAGGAGAGCTTTAAACTGAGTTTGGGGGCGGGAGGGAGATGATAGTTTTCAGGGCAGAAATTCAGCAAGTGCTGGTGAGAAAAGCCCAGCAGGGCAAGTAGTACTAGAGAACAAGTGGAAGAAAAACACACATGGTCCTAAATGTCTCTAAACTAATGCACAGGGCATGCAAAATAAACAAGATGAACTAGATGAACTGGAACTCTTAATACAGCAAAATAAATATGATATAATAGGCATCACTGAAACCTGGTGGGAAGAAACTCATTACTGGAATGTGGTTACTGGGGGATATAAACTATTTTGAAGAGATAGACCTAGCAAGAAAGGAGTAGTAGCAGCTTCAGATGTCAAGGATGCTTATACTTGTGAGGAGATCCAGGACTTAAATCCAGAAAGCCAGGTTGAGAGCATCTGGGTAAGAATTAAGGGGGACAGAAGCAAGAGGAATGTCATTGTGGAGGTATATTACACACCTCCAAGCCAGCCCAAGGAGTTGGATGATGCCTTCCTGGAGCAGATGGCCACACATTCAAAAGGGAGAAATGCAGTAGTAATGGGAGATTACAACTATCCTGATATATGTTGGCAGTCAAACTCTGTCAAGAACGTAAGGTCCAACAAATTCCTCACTTGCCTTGCAAACAATTTCATGGTCCAGAAGGTGGAAGATGTAAAAAGGAGATCAGCTATTTTAGATCTGATCTGAACAGGGATAACCTTGTTAATGGGGCCGAAGTGGTGGGATCCTTAGGTGGCAGTGACCACGCTCTCTTGGAATTTCTCATACATTGGGAAGGGGGAGCCAAATGCAGCCAGACTTTAAGAAGTCCAATTTCAGTAAACTTAGGGAATTACTGGCTGTAATTCCATGGACAAAGATATTGAAAGAGAAGGGAGTTCAGGATGGATGGGAATGTCTTAAAAGGGAAATACTAAAGGCATAATCTAAAACTGTTCCAATGAGTAGGAAAAATGGGAGATGTCGAAAGAAACCAGAATGGTTGACTAAAGAACTTTCAGCTGAGCTAAGTATTAAAAAGCATGTACAAGAAATGGAAAAATGGGGAAAACACCAAAGAGAAATACAAGCAAATAGCCAGTATATGTAGGGGGAAGGTAAGAGAAGCAAATGTGCAGAATGAACTCAGGCTTGTTAGACAGATGAAAAACAATAAAAAGGGTTTTTAAAGTTATGCCCACAGCATAAGGAAAAACAAGGAAATAAAGAGGTTACTTACCTGTAACCATAGTTCTTTGAGTGGTCCTCTGTGAATCCACACAAATGGGTTAGACTGCGCCTGCTCAGGACTCCTCGGAATATTCTAGAGCTTAAAAACATGTGATTAGTAGGACGTTCCCCCGTGGTACATATGCTCCGCCCACCCATAATACCTCAGTTCCGAATGTCCGCCGCTGTCAAGGCTCTGACTATAACAAAGCACAAGACACCAAAGTGATGGATAGTGGTGAGGATGGGCGGGATGTGGATTCACAGAGGACCACTCAAAGAACTATGGTTACAAGTAAGTAACCTCTCTTTCTTCTTCGTGGCCTCTGTGAATGCACACAAATAGGTGACTAGCAAGCTAACTTACCAGAAGGAGGGCTGTCACGCTAACAATGAAGTCAGCACAGCCCTGCCAAAACGTGCTTCTTTCTTGGCCCTGAAAGAAGCAAGTGGACACTCAGCAGATGTCAGAGACCTCAACGCCACGCAACCGGGCAGTAGAGGTGGTCATAGCTCTTGCAGAGTGTGCCTTTAGCACGTCTGGTGGAGACTTGCCTGCCAATTTATAAGCCAAAGTAATGGCAGAGAGAATCCATCTCAAAACCATCTGTGAAGAGGCAGAAGAACCTTTACGTGGGCCATGGAAGCAAACAAAGAGTTGAGGAGAAGTGTGGAAATCTTTAGTCCTGGAAATATAAAATGCTAAAATGCAACAAATATGGAGGAAATGGAGCATGCACTGAACATCAGAAGAGGGAGCTGGAAATAACGTTGGGAGAATCAGAGGTTGATTAACACGGAAACTTGAAATCACCTTGGGAAGAAAAGACACATCTGGATATAAGACAACTTTGTCTGGATAAAATTGAATATAAGGGGCATTGTCTCGAAGAGTGGCCAGCTCGCTTGTTTGACATGCAGAAGTTATAGCCACAAGAAACAAAGTCTAGATGGAGAGAAGTTTGAGATATGCAGAGGTCATGGGCTCAAACGGAGGACAAGCAAGTGAATGAAGAACAACCTGGAGAGACCACTGAGGGAGTGGAGGTCATATAGGTGGACAAATGTTGTGCAAACCTCCAAGAAACCTCTTAAGAGTTGGGTGAGAGAATAAAGAGAAGCCTCAGATCCCACAGGCTGATACGAGACTATGGCAGAAATATAAACTTTTAATGTTGAGTGGGCTAAATCTTGATCAAAAAGATAATGAAGGAACTTGAGGAGGGTATCCAATGAAACTGGAACTGCAAATAAATGCCGTGATGCAGCAAATTTAGAGAAACCATTCCATTTGTAAGAATATAACAGTTTAGTAGAAGGCTTATCCAGCACCTCCACTATGGTGGGGGAATTCTCCACACTGAGGTGTAGAAACTCCAAGTCAGGATGACAAATCTGTCCTCTGTCCTGAGTCAGAACAGACGGCTGGAGAGGTAACCTCAGGAATTCAGAAGCCATGGCTCTGAGAGGGGTAAACCATGGCTGCCGAGGCCACCATGGGGCTATTAAGATGGCATTACCTCGTAGCTGGTGGATTTTGACTATCGTCTGCTGAATGAGAGGAATGGGAGGGAAGAGATAGAGAAGGACATTGCCCCAGTTCACCATGAAGGCATCGCCGACAGAGTTCATGCCTCTTCCGAGTTGTTCTAGTGCCAGAGATATCAAGACCTGGCATTCCCCACCGACTGCAGAGACAGAAGAAAACAGTCGTTGAGAACCCACTCGTGGGTTTGGGTGGTAAGCCGCCTAGAGTTACAAACAGCTATGATGTCACCTGTCCTTCAAGGTTTAGGCTGGAGTGTTAACATCCAATGGTGGTCGGAAGGCGGGACATCAGGGGGAGGAGCTGGGATATATAGGTGTGTGTATGTGTGTGAGGGTCAGATCAGGATCTGTGAGTGTTGAGATGAGTTAGTGATCAGATTGTGTGGAGATATGAGTCTGTGTGAGCTAGAGCCTTTCTTTACGTGATTACCTGATTTATTTGTTATACCAATCTTAATGTACCAATCAATAAACTTTAGTTATTTTGTTTGAAATCCATTCCGGCCTGAAGATACTTATTGCAGGGAATGGTTGGTGGCAGACTACCAGAAGAGTAACAGTGGAGTGACGTAGCGACCTTCCTTTGTGAGGTAGAAGGAGGCCGTTACACCGCCTAGAGTGGCTGCAGTGACCAGATAGGCGGAGTATAAATAAAATAAAATAAATAAATAAATAAATAAATAAGACAGCGCAGACAGTTGGCAACATTGTTGTCCTCTGTAGACACATGAATAGCTACAGGAAAAACGTGGTGATTGTAGCACCATTCCCATAGTTGGAGCCCTAAATACAGAAGAGCCAATGAGTGGGTGCCCCCTTGTTTGTTGATATAATGCAAGGTGTTCATATTTTCTGTGGCAACCTGGATGCCACGACTGGCTATAAGAAGATGGAAGGCTCTGAAGGACTTGATGACTGCTAACATTTCCAGGTGGTTGATGTGTAACAGTCTCTCTGAGCTGGACTACAAGGCGTGGCTCTCGTGATCCTCACAGTAAGCACCCCATCCTA